TTGTACTACCGCGCCGCCCCACACAGCACGTTGCACGCCGCACCTGTGGGAAATTCCAAAAGTCCAAAATTCCAGAATTTGTACTACCGCGCCGTGGCTGTACAAAAATGGTTTTTTTGACCCGACCACCATTTCATTTAACTCGATTGGGCTTCATTTTTGGGGCTATTTCTTGTATTTTAGAGAGAAGAGAGAGCGATTCTAGAGAGAGGAAAGGGGAGAACTAAAGATTTCACTGCTCTTCCTTGAATCAAACCTTGAAATCACATCAAAGGGTTACTAAGGCTTCAAAGAAGTAAGAATTTCTTTCCCCAATTCTTCAATTTCGAAATCTAACTAGAAATGGGTAATTAGTAAGATGATTTTTGGATGTGAGAGTATTAGTTATACATGATTGTACCAATAAGGTTAGTGGCAAGATTGTTGAGTTCAAATGGGTAAAGATTGGGTTAAAAATGGTAGAAATCTTCAAGACTTCAATTAAGGATTTGAAAGGCAATCCGATGTTGGAATTCAATAAATTTTGTATGGTTGAAATTGTATCGAAACAGGCATTCAAATTTTGTTAGTTTTTTCGGAATTCGAGACGTGGGTCCCATTGTCGATTTTTAAAGTGAATTTCGAATTTTAATCCGAAAATTAAGTAAATTCATATGAAATTAATTCCTACGATTCGTATTGAGTATATTTAATTGTTTTGTGACTAGATTTGAAGCTTTAGGACACGAATTTACGAGGCAAAGGCTTATTGGAATGTTGAATTTGGTTGCGAAGCGAGGTAAGTGTCGTGGTTAACCTTGACTTGATGGATTAGGACTTGTTTGTCTATTTTCTACATATTTTGATGTTGGGTACAATGTATATGTGAGGTGACAAGTACTTATGCATTATTGTTTGGTTAAAGCAAGCGGGTGGGACTTGTTCCTTGTAATTTATTGCTTAATTTGATCATGTTATCCATGCTTAGACTAGTTACTTATTAAATCGATCGTTCTTACAGCGTTTATGGGTTTTTGTGATAATTGAGTATTGTTTCTAAAGTTGAGATTGGTATTGTTGAACCATTATTTACGTAAGGCTTGTTCATGTTGATTCTACCTCCCCGTTGTTACTTGTTCATTTTTATATGGTAAGGGAGAGTGTTAATGCACGAAGGGTGATGTTGTGCCATATTGAGAAAGTTAATGCATAAAGGGTGATGTTGTGCCATGTTTTGAGAGTTAATGCACGAAAAGTGATACTGTGGCATATTTTGAGAGTTAATGCACGAAGGGTGATGCCATGGCATTATTATTGTTTCATTTAGAGGTTGAGAGTAATAAGCACGAAGGGTGATGCCGTACAATTTTATTCATTATGTTTATCCGTTTTACTGGTTAAAGGAATATTGACTGTTTTGGTTATCATTTCCTGCTGTATTTCATCATACCTTGTGCCCCCATTTTGCATGTCCCCTCCCAATAGTTCAGGTTTATCTTTTATTTGTTGTTATCTTGTACGTATACCGTTATCTGCACGTGTTTATTATATGGGTGTCTTGTCATAGCCCCGCCACTAATTCGTTGAGAAGAGGCTTGACACTTATGGAGTACATGGGGTCAGTTGTACCCATACTATACTCTGCACCTCTTGTGCAAACTTTGGTACTGGCCCCAACTATTTGTAAGGCATAGCAGCTCGGATTGGTTGACTTGGAGACTCGAGATAGATCTGTTGGTGTCCGTAGACCTTGAAGTCCCCTTCCATTTCCCCTAATTTACTGTTATTTTTGTTCAAGACAGTTGTATTTATTTCTGACTCTGTTTGTAGAAAATTCTAGAAGCTCGTGAATTGTGACTCCAGATCTAGATTGTAGTAGATATTATGGGCATTTGTGTTATTCCACACTCAGTTTTAGTTCAATTTGGATTAATTGACTATACTTATTGAAATTGAATAAAAATTGGATTAAAGATTCTCTAACGTTGGCTTGCTTAGCAAGTGAAATGTTAGGCGCCATCACGGCCCCGAAGGTGAAAATTTCGGGTCGTGATAAGTTAGTATCAGACCACTAGGTTCTAGGTCTCGCGAGTCACGAGCAGGTTTAATAGAGTCTTGCGGATCAGTACGGAGACGTTTGTACTTATCTTCGAGAGGCTGCAAAAACTATTAGGAAATTCCACTTCTTTCATTCCTATCTTGCGACATTGATTTAGCTTCAAACATATATCTCATATTCCTTTGTATCCACTCATGTATGACATTGTGCACTCGGTATCAGCTATGTGTCAACAGTTTGTGAGGCCGCAGATGGATTACGAGGGAGCCAAATATGCTCAAACATTATCTCAATGTGTGGTCCCAACTGAAGGTGCGGATGTATTGAAAGATCAATCAGTGATTCATGTAGGGTGCAGCGGATGATGAGTACGAGCTGTAAAGGTTAATATTGTGGATCATCGGACATTGTGACCTATGACTTCGTGCTAAGTGGGGGAGTTTACTACCAATGGACAGATTGCGGGGTCATGTGTTATATCAATTTTGGCTTGAGATGTATACATGCAGTATTGGAATGTTCCTCAAATTCGTATATGTTCAAGATTTGAGATTTGCATGGGTTAATATTGGGACTTACGGTATGCCTGCGTCCTTAATAATCCTATACTTCAGAATCAAAGGAGTTAGAGAAACAACTCCAAATTTACAGAAGATTTATTCAGCGTGGGTGTCTCGGTTGCGGCATTATGGGGTGCTTCAGAAGAAGTACAGTGGTTGTTGAGCTTCTAGGATACGTAGTTCTTGCCGAGATTTGTCTGTATGTAGCCTTGCTTTTGGGATCGTTTTGTATAAATAGGGGGAATGTTATCCCAAGGAAGAATCGAGGAGTATGTGAAAAAATGGGTCAGCTCGGCGGTGTTGGGTCAGCATAGCAAAGGAAGAAATTAGCCTTATGAAAGGTAATATTCCACTGGTATTTGTGGCAAGTTTATGAAAAGGGCAGACCAACCAATGCAACACCACCTACTTGGGGTCAGCTTTCAGAAATATTTTTGAAAGAGTTTTCCCTAGACTCTCTGTAAATGCGTGATGCACGGAGTTTGAATGGTTGCGTTAAGGTACTATAATGGTGTTGGAATATGCCATCAGGTTTAGTAAGTTAGCCCGTCATAATCCTACTTTGGTTCCTACAGCCAGAGAGCGAGTCTATAGATTCATTAAGGGACTCAGTTATGATCATAAATTTTGTATGACTCGGGAGCTACATGCTGACACTTCATTTCGGCTAGTCGTAGAAATTTCCAAGATGTTTGAATGTTTTCGGGGCGAGGAAAAGGAAATTTATGAGACCAAGAGGTCTCGAGGTTTGGTAGAATTCGGTGAATTCTACTCTGTAGCTATATCTTATTATGGCGGAGAATCGAGCAGTCAGTAACCTTGGTCTGCGTATCAAATTACTCGGGGTGCACCAGTAAGTTCCTTTAATGCACCAGCGACACGAGATTCCTACAATGGTTATTCTAGTTACTCAGCACAGACTCAGTATGAGCAGCCGAACTCGCAGAGGGGTTGTTATGAATGTGGTGGTACTAGGCACATCATGAGAAATTGTCCCAGACTTGGGAGAGACATATTTCATCAAATCACTAAGGCTATGTGCCCCATTGTAGTTACTCCTCCACCTACACAACCAGTTAGAGGTGGAGGACGAGCGGGTAGAGGGCGTCCTAGAGGTGGAGGCCCAGCCTGTTGATACATTTTCTATGGTATGGCTGAGGTTGCTACATTAAATGGTGTCGTTATAGGACAACCTTGATTTAACATAAAGGAATAATTTCCTTAACTTGATTCGGTTCTGAGCATCGAGACGAGTCCTCCTATTGTGCTCCAGCTTCGTAACTCTATAATCTACTTATGTGTTTACTCATGTTGGGGGATTCTATGGAGATAAATATGTCTATCATTATGTGTTGGTCACTAATCGTGAGGCTAAATGTGGCTTTCTATTACTCCTTTCGGTGAGTTTTGATTATGAATTATATGCCCTACCGGTGTGGGGTTCATTATGTGTTATGATTTTGTTTAATGAAAATTATTTAAAAAGAGAAAATGGAAAGTTTCGATTGGCACGATATGCATATTACTTGTGCTTCAGAATTGAGGATGAGATCCTCACATTTTAATATAATTTGATATGTTTAAACCGGGTTACGAGCTGCAGTGGAAGTTATATAAGGACGAGATCCTTGTGATGAAAATTTTTGTATTTGAATTCTCCCTTGTGAAATTAAATTTGTACTACAGTACTAATAGGGAGTGATATTAGGCTTATTTAAAAATTCGTGTATGAAATTCTTTGTGCATAATTTGCCAAATTCGTGTTGTAATTATGAGTTTAAACCTACGAGGTGGGTGCCCTCCCAAGTGACGTTAAATGTGACTCGTTAATTCGGGTAAATAATTTTGAGGTCTTTATGCCACGCATCTCGTTATCTATGTTGTGAAGGTTTGAAACGAGATTTTTGTTAACATGAAGTTAATTGACGATTCTATAATTGATTATGAACAACTATTAAGACCAGATTAACCTAGAAGGGTAATCCATTCAGGTGGACCGAAGAGTGTGAGGAGAGCTTTCAAAAGCTCAAGACAGCTTGACTACAACCCCAGTATTGGTATTGCCTATAGGTTTGGGGTCTTACACAGTGTATTATGATGCATCTCGTATTGGATTTGGTGCAATATTAATACAAGATGGCAGAGTGGTTGCTTATGTGTCGTGGAAGTTGAAAGTCTATGAGAAGAATTATCATGTTCATGACTTAGAATTGACATCCATTGTTCAGGCGCTGAAGATTTGGAGACACTACCTTTATGGAGTGTCATGTGAAGTATTCACAAATCATTATAGTTTACAGTATCTATTCAAACAAAAAGATCTCAATTTGAGGTAGAGAAGGTGGTTGGAGCTATTGAAAGACTATGATATCACCATATTGTATCACTCAGGAAAGGCCAATATGGTGGCCGATGCTTTGACTAGAAAGGCTATAAGTATGGGCAGCCTTGCACATATTCCAGTTGGCGAAAGGCCGCTAGCTGCAGATATTCAGACTTTGGCCAATCAATTCGTAATGTTAGATATTGCATAGCCTAGTTGGATTCTAGCTTGCACAATCGCTCGATCTTTTTTATATGAGCGCATCAGAGAGCGACAATATGATGATCCTTATTTGCTTGTCCTTAAGGACATAGTGAGCCACGGTGGTGCTAAGCAAGTTGTTGTGGGAGATGATGGAGTTCTGCGGATGCACGATCGTATTTGCGTTCCTAATGTGGATGGGCTTCGTGAATTAACTCTCGAAGAGGCCCACATCTCTTGTTATTCTATTCATCTGGGTACCACCAAAATGTATCAAGATTTGCGTCAACGTTATTGGCAGAGAAAGATGAAAAAGGATATAGTTGCATATGTATCTCGGTGTTTGAATTATCATCAGGTTAAGTACGAGCATCGGAGACCTGGTTGTTTGCTTCAAAAGTGAGAAATTCCTGAGTGAAAGTGGGAGCATATCACTATGGATTTTGTTGATAGACTCCCACGGACTCAGACGAAGTTTGACGCAATATGGGTCATTGTGGACAGGTTGACCAAGTCATCACATTTCATTCCAGTGGCAATTTTCTATTCTTCAGATCGATTAACTGAAATTTACATTCGTGAGATTGTTCGCCTTCATGGTGTGCCCGTGTCTATTATATCAGATCGAGGTACGTAGTTCACCTCGCACTTTTGGAGGGCTGTATAACGTGAGTTAGGCACGCGGGTTGAGTTGAGTACATCATTTCATCCACAGACAAATGAACAATCAGAGCGCACTATTCACATATTGGAAGATATACTTCGCACTTGTATTATAGATTTTGGAGGTTCTTGGGATCAATTCTTGCCACTTGCGGAGTTTGCCTATAATAACAACTACCAGTCGAACATCCAGATGGCCCCGTATGAAGCATTATATGGGAGACGGTATCGTTCGCCAGTTGGCTAGTTTGAACTGGGAGAAGCTCGATTATTAGGTACTGATTTGGTACAGGATGCCTTGGATAAGGTCAAGGTTATCCAAGATTGACTTCGCGCAACTCAGACTAGGCAAAAGAGATACGTCGACCGTAAGGTTCGTGATGTTGCATTCATGACTAGAGAAAGAGTATTGCTCTGGGTTTCACCTATGAAAGGTGTAATGAGATTCGGAAGGGCAAGTTAAGTCCTTGGTATATCGGACCCTTTGAAATTCTTGAACGGGTGGGTGAAGTAGCCTACAAGCTTATACTACCACCTATCTATTACATCAAAAGAAATAACCATTAATAATAATTTTATTTAGGGTGGGGGGTTAGGGGCAGGGGTGG